GGGGAAGAGAGGGCTGAGGATCGAAGAGGACAAACCGCCAAGGGTATTGACAACACTCAGCTGATCAATGACGTCTAACTGCTAATGAAAAACGCCACCATAGCGGTATTCCAGTTCAAAAGTTACAGAAACCATTTCTGGAGTGAAAAAGTGCTTTAAATTTGTAAATATATTTCATCTGTCAGAAGAACTGACAAACGAAAAAAACGCAGCGAAGCCATAAGTCCCATTACAGTTGTTTTCTACTCATTCATCATCATCATCATCATCATCATCATCATCGGCAGTATGACATCAGTGTTCAACACCGATGCTTCACTGCCCCTTATTGTAAAGAAAAGAGTAAAGGTGGACGGAGAAGGGGCTTAGTTCTAGCTTATCACAATCATGCCGAGGTGCCTACACCTCCAGACATTCACTCAGGTAATCTGGATAGAAACTGACAACAAGAACACCACTGACATCGGTTGGCAGCCATATCTTGTAGTGTCTTCAACCAGGCACAGTGAGGATCACGCGGTCCCCATCCTGGAAGGCGAGTAGCACCGACAGTACCCAAGCGTTTCGTGATAGTCAATAAAATTGAAATAGAAAAGTATTACGATATAAAACAGGCCTGCGAAATGGCAACAAGCACTAGAATGGGAACACGACTATGATCCACACTAGTAACCTATGGATTAACTCTACTCAGAGGAAAAACGCTTGATCATCAGCTCTGAGAATTTCAGTGACGGCGCATTTTATTTATAAAGAAATATTCAAGAGAATTTAATTGCCCTATCCAATCCCGAAAACTTCATCTCTCCTTCCTTCAAAACAAAAAGACTAATCTTTTCATCCCTGATCCAGAGAAGCATTAATTCCCTAAAAATTAGTAATCACATGCCGCGATTCCGCTTTTGCTCAGCGATCGAGAAAATCCGGTGGTTCAATAGGATTCCAATTGCGTAAGTTTCGTGCTCACCCGGATGTTTGTACTTTTATCCATTCATGGGAACCGGTTCATGTTTCCGATAATTGGTTTTGATTCACTTAGAGCACTTGATAAAATTGGATTTAGAAAACGGAATGCTATGTGACGAATGTGGCAACAATTGCATTCTTTGGGATCCCGAAATCTGTGGGATTTGCCTTTTTCTTTCCCATACTGTCAACCGGAAACACACATGATACGGATAGAGTAATTCTTGCTGATGGTTTTATCTGGAACAGTGTTTATTTTGCTGCTTAACCGCAATGGCAAGCAATCAACGAGTGTGCGAGGTACAAGTAAAATTTCACTAATCACACCATGATATGGGAGCTTCTGATAACTCAGTGGTTAAATGCATGAAACTACTGTTCGGAAATTTTGGGGTTCGAATCCAACTGCGGCGTCTCACCGTTGCCTTCGTCTAGGCTTCAGTATCCTCGCATCGTCTCAAGCCAATGCTTTCTTTGGGTGACACGGCGGGTAAGCACGACTGTTCTATTATTTACTGGGTCTGGAAACTCGAGAATGTTGACTTCCTAACGCAGATTAGTCATGAGCAAATAATATGGGTGGGTCCATTCTGACCCGTCATGTAATGCTTGCCTTTCATACAGCCAAGTAAGCAGTGTGTCTTAAAGCAGGAGTGTGTTGGGTGTTGAAATTTTCCTCACTCAAATAATGACCAGTTAATTTGCTTGTAAATCACTTTGCTTGCAACATTCTGTCTTTCCTAAACTTCCTAAACTTTGATGTGACCAGTCTGGCCAGCAATTCCCTTTGCACGTCGAAAGTTCGTTAATGAACAAGGACCTGCGCAACGCGGAAATTCGTGAAAAATTGACGGGCATAGTCACAGAGAGTATACTTTTAGGGATAGAAATACGAATGGTTACTTTTGTGTAACTCGTTATAATTGCGGTACGGATTCGGCTTTCTTACATTCAGCTGTTGAAAAGGAGAAAGCATGTGAAATTGCTTATTAAGTCAATGAGACTGACAGAAAACGGGTTCGACAGTGCTCTAACGACGCTGTCTACCCCATTATAAAGTTGAGTAAAAAGTCTGGTTTGCTGTTCCATGATGTCCAAATTATTTATCCAGCTAAGACTCCTTTTTATGTTGTATTATTGGTTGCCTCATATAAAAAGTACACCTTGCTTCGCATGTAGAGGTTCCACAAAACATTCCAAAATAAGATTTGATACGGAAGAATGTGCCTGTCGTTCAACGAACAGTTGGTTTGCTAAACAAATGTGGCGGGAGGCACCTTTATCGGGTAACCCTGGAATTCAGATCAACTTGTACGAATCATCTACAGCAATACTTTTCCGTTTGGATATGGTATTTGTTATCGGTTGAAAAACGGGGCTGTAACAAGCGAGAAGCGTCGAAAAGATCCTCGGGGCAGTGGTTTAAAATGGCACAGACAAGTGAACAAAGATACAGTTTTTAGTCGACATTTGCGACCCGGCATGTAATTCCATTCAGCAATTCACTTCACATGAAAATGGATTCAAAGTCTCTGAATTGACTCAGGCATATATATAGTCGTTCTGTTTTGGAAGGTGGCTGACAGAGGAATTTCCAAATGGATCAAGTGCGCACTTATGACAAACCTCATATTTCCTCTTCTCCTGCTCGAAGGCATTGCAAGTGGACAGAAAATGAACTTCTATATTCTGATGAAAACACTGCCTAGAGCTACGGATGCCTCAGGCAACAACATAAACCGTCATCTATTTAATATGGCCAAAAGCTTTGGGTTTTCGTGAGCATTTTTGTACAAAAAATATTGGCTATTTTATCTTACCCAGAAGCTAAGCACTTTTGGCTTGGATGTGAAGACAACACACCGCGGACGACACTGACCTATGCGCAAGGGAAAAGGGTAGTTGGTCTTTTTGTTCGGATGAGATGGATTTGCAAGTGATGTACTATAAAAGCTATGGAACTGTTTGGGCACCTCACCATGACCGCGCCAACCATGATGGGAGCATTCAAGTCCACTCACCCAGGTATGGACTGCAACAGTCAGTGCACCAAAATGAACTCTGTCAGCGTCATTTTATCGATTTCAAGGTTTGTGGATTTTTGTTCAGCCGAATCGCTTCTATACTTCCGTTTCAGGTTCCAGAGCCAATAGTAGTCTGCCTGTGGAAGACCAGTCTCTTGGATAACTCACTGATTATAAAAACAGCAGATCCAGCAGGATATTGAAAACTCCGCAGACAGTTTGCATGAGGTATGCAAGGGTCATGAGGTAAACACTGAGCTGTAGACCCAACATTCAACCATCTACATTTTGAGGGACATCACATTCCTGGAAATGCTAATGTTGGTAATAGAAGTGGCACACGATTTTCTGCAATGGTCAAACGATTTTCATACGAAAGAATTGAGACTTAATTGTAAATGTGGTTCAGAATTCGGCAAACTCAACTTATTCATTTGTTCATAGTTCCACCACTTTCGTCTGAACGGTCGTCATCCTGTTCTGGCATAATTATTCCGGTGAGCCCACACCAAAGGGAAGCACTGGACTCAAGTTTCGCTCAAATTAGAGCTCATCAGCAGTGCATTTCCAATTGCCGTGCGGGGATTTGAATCCCGGACATCTGACATGCGAGGCGACCGTGTAACCACTACTCCACTAACGCACTTTGGACGCATGTGATTTTTCACGTCTGAACAGGCGAACATGTTCACGCTTGAGCAATGTGATCGGTGTGCCCGACTCACCATCGAATGATGACCCAGTAATTGTCCTGGTTGTGACGATCACTTGACCCGCCAATCAGGAATTCCCAGTCAGGTAGCGTGACACACGCTTGAAACCCACTGGGCAACTTTTGGGTTGCAGTTTTGGGGTCTTGCGGGATAGGTATTTTGTTCATATTCACACCACTCTCGTTTGAACGAGAGTCTTGCCTGCATACCTAATATTCGTTCCGTCATGTGGTTACAATTCTGCTGACCATCTAAACTTATGTTGAATAAACACAATCGTAAAACACAATGTTTCAGAGATTTGTTGAAGTGAATTTTGATTTGTGACGATGACCTTGGAGTCCGTCGCTTTACCTTCAACTTTTACACCGAGAACTGACTATAAACGTTCACGTCCGTGAGCCACAATTATCATATCTTCAACTGATGGAATAAGATGCAGGCGGATTGATGGAGCTGCATGCAACTGCAGTGGAACAGATGGAATCCATTCAGACCCCTCTTGAATGACACACGCACGACACCTTGCAGTTACGTACAGCCTGTGTTCAGATTCGCCGCCCCCACCAACTAACCAGTAATTCTACGGTCATACAACGTTTATGATGGAGGGAGAACAAAATAAAATAGTCATTTCCTTAAACGTGACGATCGGAAGGTAAAACAATGTCATGAAGGAAACCAGAATGGCCAATACTATACCTGTGCCTCAAAATTTTCACACCGAGCGGACGGAACCGTGGTCTGCTAATACTGCATTGTCGAGTCATGTTAGATCCAATGGAGCGTAGAATACTTGGAGACATCAAACCGCCTAGATTCATCTGTAAACAGTTCAAACTGACATGGAATCTAAGAAAATCTGATAAGTGCTGAAACAAAAAGTTCAAAGGTATGTAACATGGAAAAACTACCCGCTGTGGATGAGCCTGAACTGCTGAGTTCACGCCTATCAGTTTTTGCGTCTGTACGGCAGCGAAGCATCAGCGTTTGCACATCGATGTTACACGGTTTAGGATGATCTATGTCTTTTGTGGAAGCGCAAAAAATCTGGAATTCGTCGGTCCAAAAGCAGGCGACACCAGAGGCCTTTTGCACCCCTGGCATTGCAAGAAGCCGATTATTGACGTTTTTCCCTTAGTACTGCCTTATGGCTCCCGTTGCGCCAATGTAGTTGATAGAAACATCTCAGCAAGAGTTTGCAATTTCATGTGTCTGATATTTTAGTGCGAGTTCCGCTCACACCTCAGGAAAACATTTCCATGCTAGAATTCACCATAACCGATGTTGAGCATTCAATTTCTATCTTTACTCGGTTTTCATTTCACATTTTTCCGAGTGTGATTATCTTGTCGTTTAACTCATCACCCCCCTCCCAACTGATTCCCTCAATTTAGCTAAATTCTGTCATGTGACAAGACAGTGGCGCATTCAAACCGCTAGTTAGTTGTTGCATGTTGCGTCACCAGAGTAAGTGCTTAGCTGCGATCAAAATGCCCGTGCAAAGGGCATTTTATGTTCTCACCTTGATTCTTTAAAAACTGTGGCATGGAAGTGGTTTCGTTTCAATGAATTGAAAACTCAGGTACTCTTCAAACAAGTAGTTCGATGCACGGGTTTCCGGAAATGGTCGAGCCCACATACCATGTGAAAAAATCCGAGAACAGTTGAAATCTGATGCTGGCAATGCGGGCGTACATATATGGCGGCGCGACGATTGGTTTAGTCAAGCCGAACCAAATCGATCTTGCGAAACCAGGGTACAAGTGATCGATCGATGTACAATGTTACGCCGACAATACAGACCTTTGTCCCGAAAAAAATCTAGTGCAGCTTAATACCACAACACATGGAAGCTGTAGTTTGGACTGTAGTCAGCTCGATTAGTGAAAGTAATAATGCACTTGTATGCAGATTTTAGTATGAGTATCTGGTCCGCAATCGAATAAACTTCATTGAAGTGTCGGATGGGCTTTGTGTTAACAACTCCAATGGCCCAATAACACGATATATGCGACAAACTCTCACTGAACTGACGGCATCGACATGCGGTAGCTTCTAGTTATATATGGTTGTAGGTCCCGGGAAGCTTCTTGGCTTCACTTGGCTTCAAGTACAGGGAAAAATCTGTATTAATTTTACGAAAATGTGGGCGAGAAGTATGAAACTAGCAGATCAACTGTAAAGCACTACGGTCATTTTAAAAAAAATGACAGGAAATGGGGAAAAAAGGACGAAATGAAAAAAGGACGAAATTTCGGATAATTTGTGGTTACAATCGTCAAAAATGGCTGACCACAGGAAATCCGATTTGGTGATTAGACTGCTGTAAAGAGGTGAAGCAAACCTGGCAACAAATAGGGTTGGAGCCGATTCATGCTTCAAACCAATATACGTGGGTTTGAATGGAGTGGAAGTCCATTTAAGTGTGACAGTTGACGATCCACAAACTAGCTCGCGGGGATGATGTTTGAAGTTCCTGGCGGAACTGACGATACAAGGTTTTTAACGAGAGCAAGTTTGGCGTAGTATGTTCCTCAAACAAATACGTTGCTAGGCAATTATCCCGATAGATAGTGGCCCACTTTTGGTTCAGGGGACGCTAATGCGTTTCACTATGCAGCTACCAGTTTTCTAACCTGCTTATGGGGACAAGGGCCAACGGATGTCAGCAATTTAGCTGCTGTCTAAAGGTTGATTCTTTAAATTAGAATCACCCACAGTTTTGGACAGTTTGGCGTGAACTAGCAGGCGCTCTGGACTCGGTCCAGTAACTTTTGTTCCCACGTGCACCGACCACCTTTTTTTGAATCAACGTACTTTTGAAGGGAACGACCGAATGATAACTCACTGTCAACCTGCTGCAACCATGTCACGTGATCTTTTCACTCAAAAGTGCGTTTCATTGACCAAAAAGCAATCAATCAATTTTTAAAAGAGCATCTCGATTTATTCATTTAGATGCGGCCTGTGTAAGCGGTGATATTTACTTTTATTGCGGCAATGAAAGTTGTTTTGATAATTTCTGCCACAAGAAATTCGTTATTTCAGCAACAAAATTATGGTATGCAACACGTTGGGGTTCAGCTTACAAGGGTCATGCATTCGTACAGCAACCTTCAATTCCTTCTTTCTTTCAGTTGCTTCTTTCCCTCTAGCAAGAGCGTTCTGTCTCTTCAAAGCTCGGGGCGGCGACTTCTGAATCTCGTTTCTGTCGATATCACTGATCTAAGGGCCGATTTCGTTATCGGCGAATTATTACGCCCTTCAGCTCCTCAAATTGCTATATTTGCAGCTAAAAGTAAATGTTTTGGACTTTTGCTCATAATCTTTATATTTTTCTGGAACATCTTTGGGGTATAGCTTTTTAACAACAGATAGACCGCATATGACAAAATTTAGGTAGCTCTTGTGGATTTCTACTGCCCTCCAACGTGCCAAAATACTGTTGATTTCTCCTGAAAATGTGTACGGCATGTGGACCAAGAACAGCTCGCACTGCAAGGCCTATTCAAAGAAATGGAACATTCAACAGAACCTCATAAAGATGCCTTTACCAGCTGGTGACTACTGATTTTTCATTAGGTAGTATAATTTAGAATCCTGCTTAGGAATCTTTCTGCAAGATTTGATCAAAGTTCCACGTGCTTTTGGCTCCAGAATGATGAGAGACATTTGTGTGCATTCTCTGGTAGAATTGCTATATTTGTTTACATGATTTTCAGCCTACCCTCGTACTCTAGATAAAGCACTACTGTTCTAATTAAATCACCAAGCTTAATAGAGAAATATGAAAATGGGTTAACGCTCGTTGGAACCCATCAGTAGGAGACCACTTTGTTTAGTCCATTTGGGAGAAAGAGACAATGATAGCGTCTCTGCTTTACAAGCAGCATTCGTCAACATATCCATGACCACTTCAAGAACAGTATGGTGCGTGCTAGGTATGCAACTATTCGTCCATAGCTGTTGTGGCCCACAAATTCGACATCCTGATCTTCGTCCAGAAAGGCATCTCAGAAAATAGTCTAGCAATATCTGTTTCTAGTACTCCCACACTTGACCGGATCGAAAGAATCCCGTTCATAGTCGTGTTTGTCCTTGGGGGTTTGGAAATTTTAATCGCCAGTCTTGCGCATATTTTCATATGATCCACGCCCAGGCCAACCATGTTTTGGCATGGGTCGCTGAGTATAGCCTTAGGTCTCCGACATAGCAATCTTTCTTTTGGCTAATAACAGGGCGATTTCAAAACTTGATCCATCTGGTCTTCCCGCAGTGATGTTTGTCCGCCTATCCCCGTATCTCGGTCCAGTGGTTGACGGCTTCCGCTAAACTCTACCGCTTAGGTAGAGATACTTTAATAAAATCGACGCTACGCAAACAGCACTTTCTCTACCATGATAACGGACAGTAGATTCTGCCGAAAGAATGTGGGAAACTTGGAACAACTTTCATTCAAGTGATGAGCAAGAAGAATCTATAGCAACAAATTCACCAAAGCTGAAATTACCTGTGCATCATCAAGCGGCAATGATCACTGACTTCAGGAGAATGTGGGCCAGACCGATGGACCAGAAATTCGAAAAGGTCAAGGTACTAAGCCAATCAGGCAACAAGTTAGCCAATAACCTAGTAGGAATCCCCCCTTCAACCACAACGGATAATTCAAGGTTAATGAGAGTGGGTAAGCCACATATGCCAGAACACACAAACAATGAATTCCTTAACTCTAACTACTGACCGGTGTTCAGATGAAAGTTGATCCGATCGC